ATGAGTTTATCTGCTAATTTAACCAGTGAGAAATCATCAAACTACATAAAAACTTACTACAGCGTGTTGTTTTGTCGTTAGTTAAATCCAACGTTACAAGTTATAAACAAGTCACTGATCGCAATACACTTGTCAATATGACGTCATTTCTTACAACGTGACGTAGTTTGTATGCAGTGAGAGACAGATCAAGTAATATTTTCTCAACAAAATATGTATTCTCTAATTAAATAAAATATCATTTACAGATATTCTATGGGCCAATAACTTGAATTCAATGTCTTCTTCACTATTTTATTAATATGTTTTCTGTACATTACGTATTTAATTGACACTGCCGCATATTTGTATGCAAGTACATCGGAGGGTAATGTGGGGGGTCTTAATAAATCGATCTAGTGCAAGGGCATACACTCTATGGATCAAAGTAAGCTTTTACATTTCAACTATAGAACTATTAATGTATCTGAAAAGTGCTGCGATCCTGATGAAATCTTAAAAACAATTTAGTTATATCAATATTTCATGCCGCTGACCAGCAAAAAATATAGCATTCTGTCAAAGAGTATAGTTTTAACAATAAATTGCAGAATTTAGACAGGATCGCAGCACTTTTTGAGAAATGACAATGCGTGTTGTAAAAAAATTTTATTAAATTTGGAAATTTAACTTGGTTATGCCCTTGCACTTAGTGAGTATTCAATATGTAGATCAAATAATTCCAAGTCAATGTGCTCAAAATCGCGTGACTGTCGCATCACGCTGACTAAAGTCGCAGCAGGAAGAGTCGTCCTCGATATTTAGTTATTAATCAGCATTATTATTGATAGAAGAATGTACTAAATAATCGCCATCCCGATTACGAATACATTTTTAAATACAAAATTTAGTCGATATTTCTATTGCGCACCTTAACTGTGTTGCGTCATTCCACATGCAGACAAGTAATTTACAAATAGAGTTTAATCATTCCTTCAACCCATAAATGTCGATAGAAAGCAAAGATATTGTACCTGTCAATGGCTGTTTTTTTTATTTGAACTTGTAGATATTTCTCAGATTTAAAATTTAACGTATGGTTTGAACCTGTTTTGGGGATTAATTAAAAAACAGTGGGGCATCTATAATCTGAATGCTTCATCTGTGTTCCAATGAATTTGTCAGTCTGGGGGGCCATAATACTAAGACAAACTCACTTTTGATCTTAGTCTCGCTTTTCCACTGTATATTCCTTTAGAAAAAGTGAGACAGCGATCAAAAGTGAGCTGGTGTAAGTTTTATGGCCCCGAGGTCAGAATTCATGATGTTTCTGGGTGGAATATATGTACAATGTATTTTTAATGATGGGAATTTAAGAAAAACATGAAAATTCCTTAAAATCCTTAAAATTTCATTGAGATGGTGAAAAGTTCAATTTTTTGGTTGCTGAATTGGTGAGATAATTATTATTTATGAATTGTAACTGATAAAATCATTATGTGCAGATCAAGTGTGGTACTGTACTAGATGACTTATACCAAGTAGTTCCCTAAAATAACTTCAGCGGGACATACTTAATTTAATATGAATAATCTACAACTCTCTCTTTCTTTTCACAGTTGGAGGGCCTAAGATCTGAGTATGAATCTCAACTTGACTCACTTCGAGAGGAACTGGCTAGACAAACACAGGGCTAGATGACTGAGCAGAGCATCCGAGATATCTATCATCATGGAGAGTAATACAGACAGAAACAGGGCGAAGGATAGCAAAGCATACGAGTTTCTACCAATAAGTGAGTAATACAGCCCTAAGGGTGAAATGACTGAGCACTCTAGACCATCTGAGATATCTAGATAAGTGAGTAATACAGACAGAAACAGGGGAGATACTGAGCAAAGCATCCGAGATATCTCCATCAGGAAAGTAACACAGACAGAAACAGGACGAGATGAGGCAAAGCATCCGAGATATCTACCATCAGGTAAGTAATACAGACAGAAGGTCTTGAGGTTCTGTGGATTTCATCAATGTTCATGGATTACATAGGTCACTAGGCTTATCCACTAATTTGCATCCCTGTGAATATTTATTTCGTCAACATATTTCTTAATTGAACTTTCTGTTTATATGAATTACCTATGAATGATGTCCCCACGAACCAACAAAATTTTACTTACCCTTGTGAATTAAAATGAACCTACAGTATATTTCCATAAGCTTATCTGAAACTGATGCCATCACTTTTACATCTTTGGAAAACGAACTGTTGATGTTATAAAAAAAACCTCGATATTTTAATTTTTTTGTGTTACGTTTTTTGAGGAATGTTTAATTTTGAACCAGTTTAATTTACTATAAATGACTTTGTTTTGGAAAAAGGAGATATTTTTTAAGGAGGGCCTTATCAACATCAACAACAGTTGGAGAGGATTTACAAGGTGTGGGGAGATGATCAGCCAGAGACTGACAGACCAACAGACAAAGTACCAGGTAATACAGACACAAACAATGTACAGGGGGTGAGGGACATACACAGGGCACTTAAAATGACAGAGCAATACTGTAGATCACTAAATATTCACGAGACCTTATTTTCCCGAGATAGTTATTAACTCTTTATTAGCGAAACATTATTTCACGAACAAGGTAGTATAGACACATACTCTAAGTACAGGGGGTGGGAGAAATAATCGGTCAGAGACTGTCTCAGTTACCAACGAAGACAAAGTACTAAGGTAAGTAGTGACACATACATGGAATCATACAGTTCGTGGATTCGGCCACCCTTAGCCAGAATCTACATCCAACAGACAAAGTACCAGGTAGTATAGTCACATACACTAAGTACAAGGGGTACCCACAAACAGTCCCCAGAACCAATAAAACTTTGCTTATCAACGAACATTGATCCCCGCGAATCAAAATGATTCCACAGTACATACAAAGTACAGGGGGTGGGGGAACAGATCAGCTAGAAACTGACAGACCAACAGACAAAGTAGGTAGTATAGAGGTAATTTTTATAAAGTTTTAGATACATTGTCATCCTAATAAACAATGATGAAGGCTGGAAAAAAAAAATTAATTTCTTGGTTCTCAGGCCCTCCCTCATCTCTTCCAAGGGCGCTTCATTGACCCTTTTTATTGATAAATTAATAAAATAAAAACAACAACTCACCTCCATCATCATTTTTTGAGGTTTTGTACAATGTAAAAAGCTGCCTCGCTCATCATGTTTTGGGGGGCAGTAGAGAAAAAAAAAAAAAAAAAATGCCTCCCTCCCTCATCATATTTCTTGAAAAAAAGCCTGAGAACCAAGGAATTAATTTTGCATGGCCTTTTATTTGTTATTCATAACATATTATATATTGACTTTTTTGTTGGAATCAGGAGATGATGTCCTTTAAGGAGGGACTTGATCAGGAACATCAACAACAACTGGAGAGGATCTTACAGGGGGTGGGGGAGATGATCAGCCAGAAACTAACAGACCAACAGGCAAAGTACCAGGTAATATAGTCACATACACTAAGTACAGGGGTGGGGGAGATGATCAGCCGGAAACTAACAGACCAACAGACAAAGTACCAGGTAATATAGTCACATACACAACAGACAAAGTACCAGGTAATACAGTCAACCAGTCTAAACAGTAACTAGTTCAAGGAATAAGAAAGAACATAAAAGTTAAAATGGGCCTAGACCTAAAAAAATGACCCTGAAAATATGCTATTGAAATTGACCAGAAAAGTTGAAATCTGTCTTGACCTTAAGAAGATTACCTTAGCTTGTCATCATAACATCTGTTTCACAGGAAGAGTTTAACCTACAGTTACAGGCCATGAGACTGACCTTGGAACAGATCTGTCAAGGTCAGATGGAGGTCATGACTTCAGAACAAGAACAACGCCACCTAGGGGCTCTGCATGAACTACGCGATTCACTGAACAAGGAGCACTCTGAGGAGATAAGCAGAATCGAGGCAGAATGGTCAAGTCGGATGTCTGAACTGGAGCGCGAGCATGAGGATGAACTCAATGATTCCCTAATGGAGGACTCCCTAAGTAAGGAGATAGAACTCTATGATTTATATGACTTGGTGTCTGGGTGTATGAATGATGTCTTTTTATTGGGATTTTTGTTGAAGTAAAAGTTCAGTGAATTGCTTTAGGGTGACAGAAGATCTAAACTGACTGATTCCTTGATTGATACTTAAAAGGTGGAATACATTGGGACAATTTTTTGAATTGAGTGAATTACATTATGGTTGTAGAATTAATGTTTGAATTGACTGATCCTTCAGACTTGATTGATTCTAATTAGAATTATGAGGGGTGGGGGATACATTTGGAAGAAATTTCAGACTGGAGATAATAGCTCTGTCTTACTCTCCATTGGTCTATTTTTGTGGAAAAATAGCTAAAAGATGAAATGGTAAAACAATCTGTTTAAGAGTTTTGCTTTGTTTTATCAGAATCTTAATGAATCGATATTAAAAATACTTTTTTTTATTTTTTTTTAAATACGAGTTAAATTATTTTCAAAATAGAGGGAACTCGTTTTGATTTCATGTCGAATAAACAATTTAGAAGTCAAACACAACTAAAACATGTAAAATTTAGATTGAATGAAATGCACATATAAAAATGTTTTTATATATTTGTTTCTGATTTATTCTGTGTTTGCATTTTATGCATCGTATATTTAACTTTTAGATCACATAAAGCTTTTAGAAATCACAGTTTATGATTAAATTGTGTATTCAAATGCATGAACAGAATGACTTTACATATATTACATTAATAATTATTGCATGAATGTTACATCCTTAAGATCGAATGCAGAGAAAAAAGGGAATACAACAGGTGTATCGTATAAGTCCACTTCTCTTTATTCACTCAGTAGATTACAATATGACATCAATTAATTACAACCAGACAGCCCTATTCATTGAGTGTTTCCATTATCATGATTATTCAGTTATTCTTTAGGAATAGAAATAAGAAAAAGCTAACATCTAAAGATTGAATAAAAAGGGGGAGGGGTGCATTAAAAAAAAGCAACAATATAAAGATTACAATCATAAGAAATATTACAATAACCAAAACATCATTAAAACAGCTATTACAATAATTGGAGTTGTCTGTATTGATTTGCATGGTTTTTGTACTAGTTGTCCAGACTATTGAAATAGATATTCCCACGGGTAAGTTCACACACACGTGTATATGTGTCACCACGGTGAGTAGCTAACGTATAACTGTCACCATAGCAACCTGCTTTTGTACATGTCCCGCAGTGTAGTGGAGACTAAAAATAGAAATGGAGAAGTTCAAAGTTCAAGACTAAAAATAGAAACAGAGAAGTTTAAAGTTCAAGGCAATATATTAATTATATTGGTTATTTCCAAGACTAGCTTAGGGATAGAAAAGAAAGAATTTTTAAAGCAGATTGCATGAATTTTTAATAGTAAACTACATATAACCATGATACAAAAAAATGACAAAGAAGAGGGCGTACTTGTTGCAATGTTGTTACAATTAAATTAGAAGTGTGGTTTTCGTCAGTCAGTGTTTTACTAAACCATGTACATGTAGATTAAAAATATTTTTTAAAAAAAAGAAAACAAAACTTTTACCTACATTTCAATTTATTTTCTAAAACAATATGGAACTAACACCTAAATGTATAGTTTTAGATGCAAGTATTAAGCTTTGAACAGTCTATGAGCCTACAAATTTATATATACTGATATACTGGTTTGAATATGTTTAGTTATTTAGTTATAAGACATTTTTTTAAAAAAAATAATCAGAAATTATTTTTACTGCTTGTTGACTGTTTGTCTGTAGATGTACATTTATTAAAGAACCTTTTTATGCAGCTTTAAAGAACAAGAGATCTTTTATCTTCTTATATGTTTTAATTTTTTTCCTTTAAATTCCTCATAATTCACAATTGTCTTTTTTTTCTTTTTATAAGGAAGCCAACTCTTCATTATGAATTTATACAGAAACGTACAAGTTTTTTGGTTATGATTTAGTGGAGAGAAAAACAAATCAAAACCCAAGAACACCAATTTGCCTTCCTGATTCCGATATATAAGACACATATTAAGTGGTTACTTAAAATCCACTTTTCTAGGACTTGATTGTTATAGATTTTTTCACATTCACCTACAGTGTAGAGATGATCACTATAAGTCAACTTGTACCAAATGAAACTCATAGATAAAAAATCACCAAATTAATCTGTAAATCAAACCAATTAAGAGAAAAGAAATGTTGAGTTGGACTGGAATTGAACCCAGGACCCCAGAATCACTTGTCAGGTGCTCCACCGCCTGACCAGCTCTCCAGGCCAATATCCACTGCCAAACCATTACAAGACATGCAATAAACGAGATCACCTGTATAAATCCCCCGGATGTGTTATTTTTTTATGTGGACTATTCTGAATTAGGCAAACAGAAGGCTTTATCAATATTGTATGAGAATCGCTGTGAAATCACTCCACAGTCTATTCAATCTCAGACCACAGTTACTGTGTGTTTATTTCTCAAACTTACGACTGTACAAATGATTAAACTAATCAATGCATGCCAATTAATTTATGTGTGTGTTCAGAATCAAAATCTAAGGATTAATCAATGATCTTAGTTTAAAAAAGTCTTTTAGTATTTAGTAAGATGTTCGAAAAAATTTTTCAATGCAAGAAAGAAATTATTTTTCTGATTTGGAGACACCATTTTTGGTTTGACCTTAAGTTAATATATTTCATTCACACAAGTTAAGATTACTGGATAATTACAGCCTCATATGAATGTTTTAGCAGTACACCCAGGGCAAGGGGTCAGATTATAACTGCATGTATTCTTGTGTCTTCCATAAATATTTTCTTATAAAAAAAATGCACCAATAGCCAAGAGCTATATACCTACAATATGTATATATAAAGATATTATAAACATTAAAATTTCTGCACTTTATTTTTAGTAAAATTATTCAAAATTTAGCCTCTAAGCCTATCTTAATCTAAAATGCACTGATATATTCACAAATGTGTTAATAAAGATTTAAAAGTACATAAAAAGTCTTTTCTGAGCTTTTTGCTGCTTTTATTTCTCAGTTCTATTTTAACTTATCTCCGTTTCTAAGGTTTCATTATTCTAATTTTCTTCTTAAATTTTTTTGTTAAACAGTGTTACAAGAGCCTGGTCCTTTGAATTATTTTCATTATTAATTATTAAAAATTTACTCTTTTTTAAAATTTTGAAATATCACAAACCTTAATATCTTTTTTTTCAATTAACAATTTATAGTGGTAGAAAAATAGAGAAGTGGGTAAGACATGGGGTATATATATGAAATAAATTCTCACTTTCTCTTTCACTTTGATTGACAGTTTCTGAGATGGCCAAGTCTAACCTTCTTCATAAACTCAACAAAAAACTGAGTGAGGAGCATAAACAGTTACTGAAGGTAAGAATGGGGAAGGGGGTATAAAAGGGGGAAGGGGGTCAAAAACAGTTATTGAAGATAAGGGGGGGGTCTAAATGATTGTGAAATAAAGGGATGCTCTAAAAACTCAATAAACTCACCAAAAATATGATTGAGTGAGGAACATAAACAAACGCTGAAGGTAAGGGGGGTAATAAAGGGGGAGGGGGAATGAAAAGACAGAAAGATCAAGTAAGAGGAAGGAGGTTTTTCCTATTAAAAAAAGAGAAAAATCTGACAAATAAGATAAAGGGGGATGGGGGATTAAAGGAGGGGGTAATAATAAAGGGCTGTTGCATTAACTCATCCAAAAATAATAGAGTGAAGAATACAGTAACTGTTACTAAAGGTAAGAGGGGGGAGGGGGGCTTCATAAACTCAACAATAGACTTTGGAACACAGACAGTTACTGAAGGTAACGTATGATAAATTAGGGTGATTGTGAAATAAAGGGATGCTCTATAAACTCAATAAACTAACCAAAAATATGATTGAGTGAGGAACATAAACAATCACTGAAGGTAAGGGGGTAATAAAATGGGTGGAGGAATGAAAAGAAAGAAAGAACAAGTAAGAGGAAGGAGATTTTTCCTATAAACAAAAAAGAGAAAAATCTGACAGACCAGACTGAGAAATAGATAAAGGGGGGATGGGGGATTAAAAGGGGGGGTAATAAAGGGGTGTTTCATAAACTCATCCAAAAATAATAGAGTGAAGAATACAGTAACTGTTACTAAAGGTAAGAGGGGGGGGGCTTCATAAACTCAACAATAGATTTTGGAACACAGATAGTTACTGAATGTAACGTATGATAAACTGGGAGGGTATGAAGGGGGCCTTCATAAACTCAACAACAAGCAGAGTGATGAATACGAACAGATATACTGAAGGTAAAGGGAGGAGGAAAAGAAAGAGGGAACAAGTAAGAGGAAGGAATTTTTTTTATAAACAACAAAGAGAAAAATCTGACAAACCAGAAAGGGATTTGAACCCAGGCCTCCAAAAAAAATAGTCAGTTACTCTACCATCTGTGCTGTCTGGTTACTATGGGGTTGATGTACAGTGGACTCTCAGATATCCAGATCCCAGATATCGGGATGCTTCAGATTTTTCATTGGGATTGAATTTTTAAATGTTATTCCTGACAAACTGACTAGGAACCAAAGCGTCTAGATAAATGAGGCTCCACTGTATCTTTTGCTCTTTGAGATTGAATACTGTTCGTTATCTTTACTATTCTCTCTCTCTCTCTGTGATTAAAGGATAAAACTGTAATTGTGGAAAAAAAGAAATCTGATCATGTTTTTATAGGACAAGTCATGTGTTGCTAATTGAATAATCAATAACTTCTTGGCAAATTTTGAAATATATCTATCATGTCTGAAAGTTCAGACACGGGTGATCTTTTATTGTTTTACATTCAAGTTTTATCTACTGTAATTTCACAGAAAATCTCAGAAGGTTTCGAGACACGACCCGCGACTGCGATCTCCCCGAAAATCTCGTCAGACTCAGGGTCAGCAGACGGACTCAATGATACAATATTCAAACATTTTATAAATTTTCTAGGATTCATTAATTTTTGTTTGGATTCATCCTCAGAAGTCATGCGGAAGAAAAAAAAAATTAAAAGTGAGATCACTAATGTCCAATACCTAACTTCCTTGTATATTTCTAGTGAAATACATGATATCAACACAAATAAACTGGCATATTTTATATATTAAATTACTTTAAAAAGATGAACCTCTATCCAGAGGTAACTTCTCTATAAAGTTCACTTTTAATGCATCACGTGGGTGACTGCTTAATACAGATTTGACTGTAATAATGATAAGCAATAGTGCCTTTTTCATTTTATTAAAGACTAGTTATTAGCTTTATAATACATGAAATAAAACAGACAGAAAGGAAAATATGAAACCGGAAGAGGATATGTAAACGATAATTTCTATCCGGTGAACACCTACAATTAATTAAGTGAATCCATTGGCAAACTCTGTATTTTCATTTCTGTAGCTGTTTGTATTCTGCTGAATGGTCTTTGTCTGAGAGATACTTGGTATGAGAATAGAGCAGCTTGGAGGTTCCCTGTCACATGATGACAGATCCCCAGAATCTGACACGATATGTCTCTGTAACGTAGAGGTACCAGCTGTCCCCGATCATGGTAAACTAAGGTCTGTAGATCATCTAGAGCTGTTTGTACTCGCATTGTATCTGCATGTCTGTAGCACAAAATCTCTAGCATGTATAACAGAATAAAGGCTGGGACACCTAATGTTAAAAAATTGTTCTGTAGAGCAGACTGTTGTTCAGGTATCAGTTCACTGATGTAATGGATTCTGTTGTCAAGGACAATAACCACTGCTACAGCCTGTCTCATCTTTGTAGACAAGGACTGTCCCCCTACAGCTTCAGTATACATCTCTGTATCTACATTACCTATATACATCACATATGGCTGTGCTAAATTGACTTTGATCATCTCTATTATAGATAAAGCTTCCGTGTATCTTAGTGTCTTGTAATTATACATGGCTATGTGCATCATGTCTGTAATACAACCAAACCTGGCTGCAAATTTCAGCATGTGATAGGACATTTTGTCAGCTGTATAACTCAGTTTGTTGTCAGATGTGTAAGTTTCCATGTGTAATATAAAAGCAGTGCTCTGAAGGACACTAGAAGTCGTGCACTGTAGCTTGAGGACTTGATACTGTGTCAGGAGGGGTGAACCTATCATCTGTTCTATTTTATGTAGAAATCTAATGCAGCTTTGTATTTCCACTGTGCCTTCTATAAGGCAATGAGGTATTATGTCACCAAATAGACATTGATCAAACTCAGCCTCAGAAATCAGAGTATGATCGTCTGTACAGATGGAGTTTCTGGGGTTACAGAGGACATTTATAATACAAGATCTAATGGAGGAACTATGTAGCAGGAATGCTAAACCCTTTTGATACAACTCTGACAGTCTGATAAATAATCGATGTTGTTTGGTGCCTTGAATTTTACTCAGAAACATGTTGTTGCCTGGAATGAAAAAGTTTGGACAGACGCCCTCATACACCTATTTGAGGATGAGTTTTAAACAGACCCAGAAACCCCCCAAGAGTTTTTGTGGACACCAGTGAGGTATTGTATTTTGTTGAATCACCCAGAAAACTGCCGTCTTCATCTGATAGGAACACAGTAATTTATCATCATCACCTACTCCATTGTTAATTATTTCTGTTAAGAACAATTTAAGTAAGCCATATGTTAAAAATTGACAGTGGTTCATTGTACTTATTAGTTTTTGTTCTGCCAGAGAGAAAGAAATTCTCCATTCATGATCTTCATAATTTCCTAGCTTATGTCCAATTGCTACAAAGTGACATCCATTTTTCACTATATCATCAACAACATGAGGTTGGGGCCATGAGTGACATCTGTCTATCCATGAGGAGGCAGAGGGAGGCCAAAAGTCACTGAAAAAACAGTGGGCTTGATCATATTTGTTTTTTCCATATGTTCCACTGACACATGGTCCATGTAGAGTGGGATTATAAGGTACTATTACATAAGATAAAGAGATTTGTCTGTATTTAGAACTAGATATATAATATCTGTTATTCATTCTAACACACGCTCTCTGGGTTCTTCTGTTCGTTCTAGGTGAAAATAGATATAACAAAGTGAATCCTGGTGGACTATCAGAACAGTCACATAGGATCAGTGTTTGTCTGCGTGTGTTGTAATACTGAGACTGAGATAATTCCCAGATCACACGGTGATCATTTGGCCAGAACATTTCGTCTAAATCTGATTCTTTCAGTCGGAATCCTTCTCTGTAACTTCCACTCACCATCTCACTGGTCTCATCACTTTTTTTCACTTGATTTATCAAAGTATCCCTAATGTCCACCATATCTCTCCTCGAGGCCACCAGTTGTGAGGTACCCACTATACGACACAGTCCCACAAACACTGACTCTGATATGCGTTGTATGCCTTCAGTTCTGAGAATGATTAAAGTGTGATTTATATTCTTGTATTATTAATGTTTCACTTTTCTAAAACTATAATATAATTATCATAATTTATAATTTTCATGATTAAAAATCATAAAATAAAATAAATACTTCCTCAACTGAATCAGTTATTTTTCAACTCAACTAAATCATTAATTTTTTTTAAATAGTGAAATTTGTAACTTGTCGTGTCTAGGATATATATTTAACATGTATATGTTTTAAATTCAGTTGTGTAAAATGTTACAACCAATTTCACTGTCAACAAATTACACTGATTACACTGATTAAGATGAATTAGGAATTGTTTTTAGAGTTGTAAATTCTTATAATTGAAACTTACATTTGTGAGCTTCTAATGGAGTCCATTTTCAGTGGCGTGTATTCCTTTCTGCTATTGAAGTCACAGATTTTACTTCCAGGAGCTTTCTCTCGATAGGTATTGGGGGGTCAAGCTCAGACACCGACGATTTTAATTTGACAAGTGAATAAAATATTGTAGACGTATCTCAATTAACTCTGCTTAGAAAATATGGAAACTTTCTTACCAAATCAAATTCTGTCAAAATGTTAAATTTCCTACATACCCAATATAACTCCAGTTATCAATTTCGTTTCCTGCATGCATTATGGACTCCTGTTGCTTTCGATGAAATTTTCTGATACAGACTTGAGATTAATAACACTTGAACTTTGGCTTAAAATATTACCAGCTATGGAATTAGTTTTGTCCTTAATAAAATTGTGGATTGCTAGAATGCTTTTATGCCCCATCATAAATATGACCAGGGCAGATAGTGTCTGTTATGTCCATCTTCTGTACTTCCTTCAAAATTTGCAGTTAGCTCAGTTCAAACCTCAGATTCAAAGAA